AAAATAAATATACAATTATATATTTATGTGTCAGTGTGCAGCAGCTAGCGTGCGGTATACACTTGTGTGTTGCAGATAAGCATTTGACCGGTATTTACACTCATAGGGTCTATGTCCCCCAGGGTACTGCCGGAACGTAGGGTACCCTGGTAACTATCTGATATGGTTAGGGTTAGGGTTATGGAGTAGGCGTAGGCGACTCCCTAGACTCGTTAGTGGAGTAGGCGAGGTACGGTCCGGCATATTAGATAGTACCAGGGTACGTTCCGGCAGTACCCTGGGGGACATAGACCCTCTCAGCTATACTATGTCATACAATAAGATCACATTCATATGCTATGTAATACAATAAGATCACATTCATACACTATGTAATACAATAAGATAAATACAATAAAATAGTTTCCCATATTCGCTCGTGATCGCTCAACATATGCTGAATGTTCACATAATTATACGGCATTCAAATAATTAAACAGAACGCAACAGTTGTAAAATGCAGCACGACCGAATTTCACCCACCTTACTCTGGGTGCGCACATGCAGCCACTGAACATCTACGGTTAGACTACGCCGTTAGAGTGTTAATAGTGCGGTGTGTTAGAGTGTAAGCAATGAAAGATTTGTCCGTTACAACGGCTTACTACACCATAAATATTTATAGGGTGGGTGGGCTCTATTGAATGAATGTGTACACGCTCCGTTGCAAATGAACGTGACGATAAAATGGTGCATCCACGCATCAGCACCGAAGCAAAAGGCAGCAGCATTTTCACGCTGTACAGACTTACCTGCAGACAGTGCGGGCGGTTCACCTGCCAAGGCGTGGACCAGTGCACTCGCGAGTCTTATGAAAGCAAGTCGGGAACCACTCTGGCCATCTAGCTAGGTCAGTGGTCCTCAGAAACTCTACGGGGACATTGTGCGTGGCTACGGGTCCATGCACACACACAGACAGTCACACACACGCCCTATATAATAGCGCGCTACACGCACGCACAGTCGATCATCTCCACGCTACGCGCCTCATATCGTCACACCGAGGAACACGTTAGAAACAATCTCAGTTTGTACATGTATGCTCCACTCGCTAAGAAAGTAAGACACCTAAACAGCCATTCGTAACAGCAGGGTGAAGACGTGCGAGATATTTACGTGGTCTACTTACGTCCCCCCTCGCTCGTCGATGGCAGAAGACCAATATTATGATACCTGTCTAAAATAGAATACTAGAAGTACTACTACACACACATATATACAAACACATATTTCACATGTATCTGTGATTCTACTCAGCCACTTTCAATGATTTGTGCATGCTCACATCAGTAAATATATTATAATATTGATTTTATTAGCAAATTATGAGCTTATATATGCTCATCATTAGTGCCTTGATTTATTTCTCAATAAACTGTAGCTGTATCTACTTGATTGGCTCCGCCAGGCGTTGATGGAACACAAACGGTACGATTGTGAGCGCAAAGACGTTGGTGCCAGTCTTGCCATCCACCTGAAAATATTTTCCCCCATCTCCTAGATCCTCTTCGCCTAACGATCAAAGGCTACCAAAAAATACGATCAAAACAGCACATTTCACTAAAATCACTCCGCGACCGTTTCTCGATTACAACGTGAGTTGAAAGCAGCACCGCAGCATCTATTTTGCCCAATGACGATGACGATGACGATGACGATGACGATGACGATGACGATGACGATGACGATGACGATAGCATCAGGCATCAATTCACGAGTTCTCCCTCTCCCTCTCTTCATTGTCACGATGCCATTAGATAAAATCTCGCGGGACTCGATCATTTTCAAACAACGAACGCATTTACTTCTGAAAGTGCTGACATGATGCGCTAGTTTGAGAGCGGGAGTGGTTTAAGCTAGCGTCCCTTAATATAGAGGGAACTATATATTAAGGGACTCTAGTGGGTGGATAGGCGGCGCCTGCCAACATAAAACCACTAGTAATCCTGCCGCGCTATGGGACCGCTTCTCACCGGAGCGAGGAAGTTGTGCGCGCATCCAGACGTCACGTTGTGCAAATATGATTCGCCTGTTACACGGGCAGTCGCAGTTCGAAAACTAACGTAGCGTCTCGGTAAGTTTTGAGTTGAAAGCGATGACAGAGGAAGTTCTCTTGAACGGCCAGCGTAATACATAATTGCGTCCCAGTGTGCGCGTGCATGGATCTGTGCGCGCGTGTGAGTGGGTGCATGGATCTGTGCGCGCGTGTGAGTGCGTGCATGGATCTGTGCGCGCGTGTGAGTGCGTGCATGGATCTGTGCGCGCGTGTGAGTGCGTGCATGGATCTGTGCGCGCCTGTCAGCGCGTGCATGGAATGGATCTGTGCGCGTGCGTGCGTGCGTGTAACTGTGCGAATGACGTACAACGTAAACCGTAGACTTTTTTGGGTCTCTGTTCGACTGGCGACTGATTTTTTTGGGTATTTATTTCATCTTGTTTTCATTCACTCCTGACATCACGCACATGCACCCGCGAGCGACAACCGGAGGGGGAGGGGAGGGGGAGGCAGAAGGCAGACACCACTCTATTGCCACATCCCTAATGCCTGCCTACATTCCACTAGGCGTGCGTACGCTGTTACATACATTAATAAGAAGCCGGGGTGGCCGGCTGGCTTACGCTAACGAACTGCTGCAGCCTGGCTCCTTAGGCCCGTCTATTTATAATTTTATCAGCCCCTGATTTTATGCGATATAATATGGTGCCTGAAGTCATCACCTGCTAACTCCCCACCAGAGCAGGCGTGCCCATGCTGCGCCGAGAGCTCGTGTGTGCGTACGTGCGCGCAGGCGTGTGCGCGCGTGCGTGCGTGCACTGATGTAATGTACTGCCCCATAGCATTTACAAACACTACCCGTACCGATTACAGCCGGCACGGCATCAGAATGCTGTACATAAATGAGCAACATGTTCTGCACATTTAATTTTCAGCCACTGAAAATATCAGGAGTGAAGACTGACTGCTCAATACTATTTGCCGGCCAGCCGAAGATCTCATATATGCGTATTTCAGTTTGAACAATGTTATGAATGTTTTCTAATTTAATTTGTGAATATTATTTGATACAGCATGCAAGCAGACATGCGTGTTTGACCCGCAGGAGTAAGCCATCGCTAACACTATCATGTGCTCGCTCGCACTTTATCCACTATACAAACTTCACGTAACCTCTACGTACACGCAAGTACGCAGGCGGTCTCTGGCACACGCACCCACGCACGCACGCACGCACGCACGCACGCACTTTGTTAGTAAAAACATTGTTCATAATGAGTTCGATTAGAGCGCGTTTCTATAACATGATATTATATATGATATTATAACATGATATTACATTATATAACATAATATTATAAGTAATGAATAGGTAAGTAACATAATAGATAAATAAGTAAATAATACCAAGATCTAATTACACCTTATTATAGCTAATAAGAGCTAGTAAGGTGTAATAAGCTCCTGATTATAATGAATATATAAGACGACAGAGATACAATAACGGCACGACAGCGCATGCGCGCTCACAGAGCTACCGCTACTGCATACATAGGTCACTCGCCGCGTGTCTGTGTGACCACTGACACTTGCACGGCATGTAACCTCGCGTGACGACGTTAGCCGGCGATGGCCCCATATCCGCTGATTAACTCCAACTTATCGATTTACTCGTGCATTTCTCTCGGCGACTGTGCAGCGCGGTGAGGCGCACTTGACAATAACGTGACATTGCCACTCCATAGAGGGCAAGTGACTGTCAGGCCGATCAATGCAGCTCGCGGCGCGCACGCGCTGGGCCCGGTGGGAGCGGCAGCACCCGAGGCATGCGGGGGGAGGGAGACAGCAGGCATGCGGCTGAGGAGCAGCGAGGCTGCGGGGGAGCGCGAAGCATGCAGCGCAGCATTGCGCGGGAAGCGGAGGCACGAGGCATGCGGGGGGAGGTGGCAGCGAGGCATGCGCGCGGCGGGTGGAGGAGGCACGGCAGCAAGCGTCATGCGGGGGAGGGAGGCAATGCCAGCGAGGGCATGCGGGGGGAGGGGAGCAGCGA